TCGAACCCTGTTCTGATCGAGGCTCCCCAAGAGCATGAAACAAACTCCTGGTCCCGACAAAAACCCCTTTTATTAATTGACTGTGAATTCTGATCATTCACATCCAGCAAAGTCTTTCAAGGGAGGATTTACGGTCACAGACCTCATCTGGCTTGGAGAGCTGCCAGGCCGATCTCTGCAGAACTTGGCAAAAACTTCTCTTTCCCCCACTCCTCTCTTCTCCTCCTCCTTCCCCTCTTTCCTCCTCTTACTTCCCCTCCCTTACTTCCTCTGCTTTACCCTTCCTTCCTTTCCCTCCTCGTCCTCCCTCCTTGCCTATTTTCTCTCCTGGGGTGGCATTCCAGAAGATCGCTGGCATTTTGGGTGGCACTCCGAAGCTTCTATTGCACCGGTGTTCATTTCCTTCTCTTTCTCTCTTGCTGCCCGTTTCCAGAAGACGGCAACACCTTTGTCCAGACCAAATCCTACAGCTCGTCGTCTTCCAAGAAAGTGGGCAGGTAAGACCACCTCCTCCCCCCACAACTCCGGGTTTTCTGAGCCTTGCACGGCTGCCAATCTGGGGTGCAGCCAAACCCCAGGCGGACCTACCCCAGAAGGCTGATCTTACGTTAGGAAATGTTCAGAGAGTGCACAGAGTAAAGGAGGCTCGGTGTGTGTCTGTGTGGACGCACAGGTGATCCAGGATGTTTACACTGGTTTCCAGCTGAGATTTGGCTGAGGAATGCTCTGGTCCTAGAAGTGTGTGCTCCTCAGAAAAGGCAGGCACAGCCACACAACCTCTGTGTGTTAATGATTCAACTGTGGAGGTGGTTGCCAACATCAGGATTCTGGGTGTGCAGCTAACGAGGAGGAGAACCTGGTCGCTCAGCGGTGAGACACTGATGAAGCAGGCACAACAGCGCCTGCACTTTCTGTTTCATGTGAGAAAAGTACATCTTCTTCCCACTGTCCTTACCAATTACTATAGGAGGAGGATGGGGAGCATCCTGTTATACAATACAATAGCAGAGTTGGAAGGGACCTTGGAGGTCTTCTAGTCCAACCTCCTGCCTAGGCAGGAAACCTTATACTGTTTCAGACAAATAGCTATCCAACATCTTCTTAAAGACTTCCAGCATTGGGACATTCACAACTTCTGGAGGCAAGCGGTTCCACTGATTAATTGTTCTGTCAGGAAGTTTCTCCTCAGTTCTAAGTTGCTTCTTTCCTTGATTAGTTTCCACCCATTGCTTCTTGTTCTACCCTTAGATGCCTTGGAAAATAGTTTGATATTCTATCACTATGTGGTTTGGAGATACTACTGTTTTTAGACAGGAAAGCTATGCTGAGAGTGGTGAGGACAGTAGAAAAGATTATTGGCGGTTCGCTCCCTTCCATCCAGGACGTGGCATATAAGCAAAGCTTGGGTATTGTCTGGGACGCTACGCATCCTCTTCACAACCTGTTTCCCTTGTTACCTTCGGGGGGGGGGGGGCTTTGTGGTATCCAAAGCAGAACGTCCAAATTTCATCACAATTTTGTTCCATACAGCATCAACCTTGCAAACTCCCCAAGTTTCCTATTTCTGCTGTGTATTCAAAAATGGGCAGTGATTTATATATGCGTGTGTGTTTGTGTGTATGTANGCCCTTCCACTTGGAAAACGGCCGCAACTTATGACCATGATTCCAAGCTCAATTACTGTCATGTCGAGTTAGCCAAGGGGGGGAGGGGGGTTTCCTCTCGGCCCCCTCTCATCTTTCTTTGCCTGCCCCCCCCCGCCTTAGAGATGAAAGGAACCTCTGCCCCCCTCGCCAAATAAAGCTTGCTAGCTTATCCCAACACCAAGAAAGCCAAGGAGTAAGGCTTCCTTTGGAGAACGAGGGGGACGGGGGGGGGGGGCAGCAGCCTTCTAAATGCCAAACAAATCCCGTTTGCTGAACAATTCCTCCCCTCCCTTTCCACCCCTCCCCCCATTTTGCAGACCAGCGAGAGAAGGAGCGGAACGAGCGGCTGCAAGTGTCCAAGGCGAAGGGGGGCTCCCACACCACCGAGACCACCTCCCAGCAAAGCAGGACGTCCGCGGACGGCTCGGCTATCAGCATGGTTACCAAGACCCAGCGCCTCGTGCAATCCAGTAAGAGGGGGGGGGCAGGGTTTCACGGAAAAACACCCAGGCCACTCCTTCCTCCTGAATCTCCATCCCAGTCTTGGGACCCAAGGCCCAGCCCGGTTCCCGGCAAGGTTTTCTCATAGCGTGAGAACCTGAAGACGTCTCCTGACCCTGAAGGCGGGAATTTCAGAAAAACCCTTCCTTCGTTGCACAATTTCTTCAGACTTCTAATCATCATCGTCATCATCATCATCATCACCCTGGCGACATAACTAGTCCTTGTCTCCTCTTCCCTCCCTCATTTTTGTGTCCCAGATGATGGCAACAAAGCGTCCCGCACAATCACAATGGAGGCAAGCTACACAAAGAGATCAGAAAGTAAGTTGCCGCAGTCTCTCTCTTTTTTTCCTTTCAAGAGATGCTGTGTGCGTGTGTGTGTGTGTATGCACACAACAAAGATTTGTATGTGTGTGTCGAACCCTGTTCTGATCGAGGCTCCCCAAGAGCATGAAACAAACTCCTGGTCCCGACAAAAACCCCTTTTATTAATTNCATTGCAGGCTAATTCTACCAACTGCCGGCAGTTCGATCCTGACCGGCTGGAAGGTTGACTCACCCTTCCATCCTTCCAAGGTATATAAGCCGCATATAAGTCTACGTCCTATTGCTATTACACCCGGATGCCCCTCCAGGAAGCTGAGCGGCTGGTCCAACCTCACTGTGCCACCCTGTCTTTCCAGATGGATGCCAAGCTGCCAACGCAGCCCAAGGTGTCCCTGATGACCAGGACGGAGAAGGAAAAGGTGGCGGAAGAGCAGAAACCGAACCGACTGAGCGCCGAGGAGCTGGGCAAAATTGAGGAAGAAGACGTCTTGGATAAGATGGTGCGTAGCCGCCGTGTAAATGCGTAACCTCCCTCTGCACCCCCATGCTGGTTAGGCTGATGGCCATCGGGGTTTTATGCGGGGAGACATTTCTGTAGCAAATCTTTCACACCCACCGTCCTGGATGAATCCGTCCAGTTTGATTTCGCCGGATTTCTGGATAGTGCCGCATTCATAGCGGAGGGACTGAGAGGGAAATGGGGCAACTGAATGCTGAAATGGATCACAATTCCACATGTTTTGGGTTGGGAAGTTTGCAGCCAAGAGGCGTTTTCGATCGCGGCTTAACGCAGGTCTCCATCTGGGAGGGAAGCAGGAGAAAGACGGGGTCCTTCCCCTAATATTCAAGCCACCAGGGGGCAGCATTAAAAGAGTAGGGGGATGTGGGGCGTAGTCTGTCCCACCACTAAAAAAGCAGGTGTTCTGACCTAGGCTTCCTTAGAAAGCAAGCAGCAGAGTCTTGGTCTCGGCAAACCCCGTTTTATTTACACGACTGTGAATTCCTTTCATCCACAGTCAGCAAGGCTTTAGCAAACAGTCTTTCAAAGGAATGTTTATCCACACGAACCTTATCTCACTTGGAAGGCTGCCAGATAACTAAACATAGGACAAGGCAAAACATGGCACAGGATCTCTTATAGTCACAAACAGAACTTTCCACTCTTGAAACGACCGAAGGAACGAATTGTTTCCTGCAAAAGCCCACTCCCCATTCGCTCTTGTTTCCCATGGGAGGGGTCAATCACCTCCAAGGTGTGGCTTTACTCCCAAGTCGACCCTGCTTTCTTAG